CTCTCTCTCTCTCTCTCTCTCTCTCTCTCTCTCGTATATATATATATATATATATATATATACACACGCGCGCGCGCGCACACACACACACTATTATTTGTTACCGAATTGTATGAAATCGATCAATTAAATTCTTTGATTAAGTAACCATTTCAGCGGACGTCTCTGTAAAGAATCTCAATCCTTTTTCCTGGTGCAGTATATTCCCCCTCCCAGTTGTCACTAATTATAATAATAATAAAATGGCCCAAGGGTGGCTTAATGATTAATTGTCCATTTTAGTTTACACTAGTAATGACTTTTAATACATAAACATATTTCCCTCTCTCCCCACCCCTTGAAAGTGTCATTCCTGTTGAATTGTGGGGTTTTGTGATTTCTTGGGAGGACGAAAATCCGTGTTCTTGCGCTGGGGGGTGGGAGTGAACTGTTATGAGTGACGTCATTGTGCTGAATCCATAGGAGCTGGGACTATCCGAAAGGACTTGTGAGTTGTCAATTTCTCTGAATGAATCATGTAAAATCAGTGCTGGTCTTGTCTACAGCGCACAACATTTGTCTTGTAATAATAATAATAAATTTTGTAAAAACAAAATAAAATGGGTTTAGAATGTTCATCGTATCTAAGACCCTAAAACTATAATCTCCCCGAACCTACATGATTCACTCCTAGGGATAAAAATAATACTGTTTTTTGGTTGGGTTGTTTTTTTGTTTTTGTTTTTTGGCACTGAGTAACTTGAAACTGCCTACAGGTAAAATTTTAGTTCATTCATTCATTCATTCTGTTTAAAAATACCACATATTGTAGGCAAATAAACAATACGATTTCCCGAAAGTGGTTTCTATGGCGTGCTAAATGCAGACAGAGTGGCTGATCTAGTCATTCTTTTTCAAATTTTGCGCAAAATCCCCTACAAGCTGTTCAGTCAGGTAACGGGTTAGTGTTACGTGGCCCCACGGGGAAAAAAAAAAAAGGACAGTTGTGAAAGAGATCAACAACCTAATCATCATCCTTCTGGTGCATCTTTATTTTCTTCAAAAGCCACTAAGTTCTACGTATTTGAACCTACACAACTTCGTTCGGATGCTGCTTGTTAATTTAGCAAGCATTGCAAACAATGGAAACACGATACATAAACATGTATACAGATATACCTAATGAATTAGCTAGTCAAATTAAAAAATAAACTGTTGTAGTTATCAACAATATAAACTATAAGACGGTTGTTCCCAACTGACTATTCAAACCATGAAAGGTATACCGTGGAAATTAAAAGGTATGGAAGCCATCTGCGAAAGGAGAGGGTGTTTCCATCTTGTCTTGAGATCTGTTTATTTCTTTATTTCTTTATTTACATAAGTGTTTGGATGTGAAGGCTAATCACCTTTAATTTTTCATTTGCTTGTTACAGATGTCTACCCCGTTGCTCTCAAGGTAATCTAGACAGACGCAGCTGAAAGCCTGAATCTTATGCCTTAGACATCAAAGAAAGCTCGCACAAAGAAGTATTTCTTCGCAAGGGTGAATCTTCATGGTAAGTTAGGATTTCTATGGCAATAGGCAAGTCATACTTAAATAGTGAAAGGCAAAGTCTGGAGCCCGTCCAGACTTTTCATTAAGGACATAATATTTACGTCTAACAGGCCCTTTTTCTTGTGTATACAAGTATATATTTTTGTTTGACGCGAACTAAATCATTTTCATTTAATTTCCGGTAAACAAAACCCACGCGAATGGGCACTTGTTCCAGATCATAATAAAAATGGATAAGAATGTCAGGAAGAAAAGGCCCGCTTGAACCGTCGCGTCAGCTCACTTTTGTTTCTGCTTTCTGCCTTGGTCAGAGAATGCGTTTGGGATTTGATGGCGAGTTTCTAAAGGCAAGGAAATGGTTTTTAAGGGGGAAAAGAAAAGGAGAAAGGTCTAATCAAGCTCGGGTTGTTCAAAGGGTCTGATTTTGGGGTTGAAAGTGTGAGTTTTATGGTGCATCAACATGCCACGTTAGGATCGCTATGGTAATGAGGAGAGCAATAGCAAGCGGCCTTCAAAGGAGGCACACTCCATTTGAGACAGTCTATTAAGACACATTTGCACTGACCTTTGGTTTCATGCTAGCTTAATACAGTCAATCTGCTCTTCGTCAGAAATATACTTCCTCCGCCTAATACACTTTAACAGACTGTTTTTGTTTGCTTTCACCCTAAGGTGGGGTTTGGGATGGTAGTTTTGCACTGAAGTCATTATACCAAAAGGAGGGACTGCCAATAAAGGGCATGTACATAATCTGAGTTAGTGCTAACTCTCTTCAGAACATGAGCATTTCTAACCAGCTGACATATTTTTTTTCAGAATCCAGACGATCAAACATTTCCATTCAAAAATGTCTCCAGTGTAAAAAAAAAAAATATTGTGTGTCCTCCTCCCCCACCCTTCCCCAGTCCCCAGACAGTGAAGTTAGGATGGGGAATTAAAGGGACACTTGAGCTTTCTTAGTCTAATGGTGTAAGGTGTATCTAGCAAGGTAAATAAGAACCTTTGGATCATATCATTATTCCCTGAAAAATAAATAGGGTAAAGGCCTGACTAGAAGCTGTTGTGGAGAAAGTCCCCAGCCCAAGGGGACACTGATAGTGGCAGGTTTGGAAAGTGGAAAGTGCTTGAAGGGATGAAGAACTTGACATCCGCATGGCTGAGGCCATGGCCGATGGGTTATGGTCCCGGGAAAGTTAGAAGTCCTGTTCCAGTAATTGTCTTGTTGTTTATTTTATCCAAGTACCCTAGTGAATA